AAATTAAAGTAACTGAAAAAAATGAAAATGTAGCTTCTTAGTTTTGTTTTGAACCCTGCTCCACCTCACCTACCCTACCCTGACCTACCCCACCCTACCCTTACCAACCCTACCCCACATTACACTACCCTACCATCCATAACCCACCCTACTCTACATCTAGATGAATTTTTAGTCATTAGGAAGTACTTTCAAACTCAAGAAGTTAGTCACCAAAACACCAAACAATCCAATTAAAAAGTGGGGTACAGAACTAAATAGACAATTCTCAAAGAGGTATCTAAAATGGAGGAAAGACACATAAGAAAGTCATCAGGGAAATGCAAATCAAAACAACTCTGAGATACCATCTTACTCCTGTTAGAATGGCTAAAATCAAAAAACACCAATGACAGTTTATGCTGGAGGGGTTGTGGAGAAAGAGGAACACTCCTCCACTGCTGGTGAGAGTGCCAACTTGTACAGCCACTTTGGAAATCAGAATGGCAATTACTCAGGAAAATGGGAATCAGTCTACCACAAGATCCAGCAATTCCACTCTTAGGCATATACCCAAAGGATGCACATTCATACAATGTGCATACAAAGGACATCTGTTCAACTATGTTCATAGCAGCATTATTTGTAATAACCAGAAACTGGAAGCAACCTAGAAGCTTCTCAATTGAAGAATGGATAAAGAAAATGTGGTACATTTACACAATGGACTATTACTCAGTGGAAAAAACAATGGAATATTGAAATTTGCAGGCAAATGAATGGAACTAGAAGAAACATCCTGAGTCAGGTAACCCAGTCACAAAAAGACAAACATGGTATGTACTCACTCATATATGGATATTAGACATAGAGCAAAGGATCACCAGCCTACAATCCACACTGCCAGAGAAGCTAGGAAACAAGGAGGACCTTAAGAGAGACATACATGGTTCCATGGAGAAGAGGAAAGGGACAAGATCTGAGCAAATTGGGAGCATGGGTGGTGGGGAGGGGAGAGGGAGTTAGGAGATAGAGAAATGGAGAAGAGGAGGGTGAGGAAGACATGAGGGAGCAGGAAGATTGAGTCGGGGGAAGAATAGAGCAGAGCAAGAAAACAGATACCTTAATAGAGGGAGCCATTACAGGTTTAAAGAGAAATCTGGCACTATTGAAATATCCAGAGATCTACAAGGATGACACCATCAAAGATTCTAAGCAATTGTGAAGAGGCTACCTTAAATGTCCTTCCCTAATAATGAGATTGATGGCCTTATATACCATCCTAGAGCCTTCATCCAGTAACTGATGGAAGCAGAAGCAGACACCCACAGCTAAACACTGAGCTGAACTCCTGGAATCCAGTTGTAGACAGGGAGTTAGAAGAAGGAGAAGGGGAGAAGAGGAGGGGAGAGGAGGACATAAAGGAGCAGGAAGATCAAGTCAAGAAAAGAATAGAGGAGAGCATGAAAAGAGATTCCATAATAGAGGGAGTCATTACAGGTTTAAAGTGAATTCTGGCATTAGGGAAATGTCCAGAGAGCTACAAGGTTGACCTCAACTAACAATCTAAGCAATAGTCAAGAGGCTACCCTAAATGCCCTTCTCCAATAATGAGATTGATGACTACCTTATATGCCATCCTAGGGCCTTCATCCAGTAACTGATGGAAGCAGAAGCAGACACCCTACAGCTAAACACTGAACTGAACTCTGGAATCCAGTTGCAGAGAGGAAAGGGGTCAAGACCAGGCTGGAGAGACCCACAGAAACAGGTGACCTGAACAAAGGGGAGCTCATGGACCTCAGACTGATAGCTGAGAAAACAACATAGGACTGTTTCAGACACCCTGAATGTGGTGTCAGTTAGGTGGTCTGTGCATTCTATGGGGCCTCTGGTAGTGGATCAGTATTTATCCCTAGTATACTAATGGACTTTGGGAGCCCTCTCCACATAGAGGGATACTCTCTCAGCGTAGACACATGGGGGAGGGTCTAAGCCCTGCCCCAAATGATATGACAGACTTTGAAGATCCCTCATGGAAGGCCTCACCCTTTCTATGGAGCAGGAGAGGGACAGAATGGGGTGTTTGGGGGAATGGAGGGAGAGGGAACTGGGATTGACATATAAAATAAGATTGTTTCTAATTTAAATAAAAATATGTCAAAAATAAAACAAATTAATACAGAAGTCCTTTTATGGACCTTCAAAGCTGAAGTGGTTGTTAGAGAAAGCAACTCCTAGAAATGAGACACACAGACATGAGGTAAAATGACATTAGGCTCTGGGGACACCAAGAAGCTCATTAGAACCTTCTGCACACAGAGTTACATATTCGAAGGATAATGTGGATGGTGCAGTCCATCGGGTCCACCCCCATCTACACATAGAAGACTGAGGTTCTGACCTGCAGGCTCTGCTGGAACATGTCTCCCATTCCAGAAGAGATTCTACTGAAAGCTTCAGTCATTCTGTTGCAGTGAGATTTATCTGGAATGAAGAACTTTAAACCTCCTGAAACACAAGAGATATAAGACATATAGATAAAAATAAAGATTAAATCCTCTCTAACACACTGTGTCTGCATCAGTGTTTTAGTCTAGAGTTAGTGGGGGGGGTTTGTTGGCTCATCGTGAAGGCTGTCTGACATAACTATGAGGCAAGTGGCCTTAAGGAGGTGATTTTCACTGTCAGTTCATGTACTCTGCCCCCTGCGGAAGAACTCAGTAAATACTTAGTGGGCAGTCTTAGATCCAAACTAATTCCTAAATAATCTAGATTAATTGCTGGTAATTGCATTTATATTCTGACATTTAAAAACCTAATGAATCTTAATTTTCAATGGTCAATTTGTTTGATTATCTTTATGGAATGTAAGATGAATTTACTCTTTGCCTTGTCTAGAAAAAAAGCAGACAAGTACCTTACAATGCTGCTTTTGCATCTACTCTAGAAGTCATGGCAGTTAGTTAATGTGATTTTAGCTTCATAAACATGCATTTTCAGGCTGGTTTAACAAATCCTAAAAATACTATTTTCATTGGAGGTACAAAACTTCAATTATAGAGAAAACATTTTAAAATTGGGAAAATTTTTAGCTAATTTTAGCGGTGATTTGTGTGTTATAAAAGAAATCTTTCCCATTTTACCCCCAATAGAGACATGTAACCTGGCTCTCATAGCTGGGCTTTGAATGTTTGGTTTTAAAGGCATGCTCTAAAAGACGCCTCCTTGGGAGGTTTTACCTGTAAGACGTGATAATTCCTCCAGTTTTCTGACTGTAGAGGAACCCAGGGCAATGGAGTGAATGGTGGATCCGCTGCTCGTCACGGTGGGCAGGCAGTTGTTTATGTGCTCATCTGTGCCGCTGGTAACCAGTATCATGATAGAGCCATCAGCTCTTCCATTCTTCTTCTCAACCACCTGAACACAGACAACCAACCATTGCTTAGAAGGAAGTATGATTCAAATTGTCTGACTAAATAGAGGAATTTATTTTTATGTACAACTGCCTACTGGTGTTGACAACACCTCTTCAAGGTTCCCTATGCTCTATGATCACCTCCATGTTGCTCCTCACCTCACTCTAGCACAGTACATTTGTACAGACTTTGCCATAGAAGATATTGTGCACATTAGGACATGAGACCCTTGCCTCTAAGATCCAGCCAGTGACAAGAAAGAGGGCTGAGAGCAATGGGTTCTCAACCCTAGCTACACCTTAGAATGTGGTGGGAATGTTTAAACAATTCATTGCCACACCCCAGATCAATGACATCAGAACCACAAGATACAAAGCACAGGCATCGTGGGTTTGTTTTTGTTAGTTTGTGTGCCTGAGATCGAACCTAAAGTCCCATGTGCACTAAGCAGGCATTCTACCTCTGAGCCCCATTACCACCTCCTGGTTTTCAATCAGGCAATGTCAGTGGGCAGCTTAGGTTGAACAACTGTTGGCTAGGGTGGCAGCAGTCTTGACTGATGTTTTGTTTTCTACCAGATGTGGACATGTGCATCACAGATACTGATTTAGACCAATTCTTTCTGTCCTGAAACATGTATCTAGTCTTAAGTGTGTGTGTGTGTGTGTGTGTGTGTGTGCTCGTGCACTGGTGTGTGGGTCCACACGTCAGTATGAGTGTTGACTTATTTATACTCTCAGGCCCTCTTGATAGACAGAGACCAAAAATGTTGATTTTTGCCTTGAAACATACAAAGATAACAACAGCCATGGCCAGGGCCACTTCAGAATGAATAGGGACAGTTTGGAAAGGCTCTGGATGATACTTCAGTCCCTTAGCCATGGCCATTGTACTTATTTATTTACTCATCCTTTCAACAAGCAGTTCTTCATCAATTATTATGTTGGTTACTTTGTTGAGCCCATTGAGGGCAATGGGAGTAAGAAATGGGTTGGGAATGATTCATTAGTCTCTAACAGGTGAGGCTGCTGCAACCATACTATAAGAGAACACTCCTTTTCAATAAACAAAAACAACAAGCAACAATGAACAAACACAAAAACCCCTCAAAACCTGAGATTCAAAATAAGAATAAGATAGTGATGACAATTGAAGCTCAGGGAGCCCTACCTCGAAGCCTCTTTTAACCCCTGCGCAGGTGTTCGTTTCCTCTTCAGTGGACACAGTGGTAGGCAGATAGGAAACCAGTAGCCTCCGGTCATTGTCACTGTTAATTTGTTGCAGCTGGGCTCTGATTTCTCCTTTGCTGTCAAAAGTGACGATGCCCACAAATGTGTGGATTTCAACAACCTGCATTAAGTACAATTCGGCCGCTTGCTGCAGTCGAAGGAGTCTGTCTGCCTAGGTCCCCGAAAGAAAAAGACAGAAGCAAGTCACATGTGATTGGTAGACCAAGGATGATGTAATGATTCAATTATTGAAGTGTCTGTTAATTCTTTACAGACATTGTATGGTTCTTTGAGGTACAAAGAGTGGCATAGTGCTAGAATGTATTTTTCAGCTAATTAAATACTCAACACACAATTCCGCTAATGGTGTGTTGGGTGTACAGAAGAAAGAATGCTGAGGAACTAGTCACAATTAAAATGATATACCCTCACCATTTCACTCCAGCTCAGACTTTTAACAACCTATGGCGTCAATTGAGAATAGGTTTATAGTTGATCTATTTGAAATCAGTCCAATGGAGAGAAAACATTACAAAGGGATCTGGTAATTGAGAGATATGGTAGTCAGCAACACCAGTGCCCATCCCTCTGCTGTGGTGACCATTTGCGGCTGGACACTTTGTCTATCAGTGAGCGTGCAACACTATGTTTATTGGTTATTTTAGTTGGTATATGGAGTGCCTTTAATATGTACATGACAGGTTGCCCATCCCTCTGCTGTGGTGACCATTTGCGGCTGGACACTTTGTCTATAGAGTGAGCGTGCAACACTATGTTTATTGGTTATTATAGTTGGTATATGGATTACCTTTAATATGTACATGACAGGCACTAATCAAGTGTAGAGATAATGCTACCAACTAATTCACTGAAGTTGCTTTTACTGATGGCTCCGAAGAGAGGCAAGGAGGCAGTCTGCTGATTGTCAATGTCCAGCTGCTCATATATGGCTATGACCTCTGTCTGTGGATATCTCCCTTGTCATTTACACCTACCTCTCACACTTCTCGGGACCCATCACCAATTCAATGTCTCATAGAGACCTCAAACTAGACAGCGTTTTCATTTATTGTCCCCTTCCCAAATACTACTTTTCTTCCAAGCTGGGATGCCACATGGACCTTGCTGTCTGCCTCTACCTTTCATAATTATGAGGGGGAAAAAAACTACAATTAACAGGAGGGGGGGGTAGCCAATGGGGTTAGGGATTCCGTGTGAGTTTCACTTATCTCGCCTTCTCAATCTCTGGGCCCCATTCTGAGTTTGTCCTATCTACTTCCCAAGCAAATAAGATCATCTTGGACTCTTTAAAATCTTTTGTGCCTTTCCCTATCATACTTTGAGTAAAATAAAGCTAAAAACCTGATGGGGGGAATTGTTTTTAATTCTTTGGAATCAGTGTGTTACCTCTGCCATCTTCCTGGACACATCTATCACTAAGCAGATGACTTTGTCCCCAGCTTGCAGGAGGGAGCATGTGGGAGGGGGTGGAAGCTCAGCTCCATGCACAGGGGGGCTGTGACTGATGTCATCAGAGTCTGCAATGATGTCCCAGGTGCTCCTGAGGCTGCACATTCGGTTCTGCAGGTTTGGGGCCTCACGGTTGTGGGTACTCGAGTTACAGAATTCAACAACCTGGAAAAGAACAAAGCTCCCTTCCCAGACCAGAGACACTTCTCATTCTCCATGGGCCACAGGTAAAAAAGATGACAGAGTTGAAAGCAAGATCACATCTTCCTTTTTTTCAAAAGTGACAGTAAGTTTGCAGATAACTCTTGACACCTTTTGCTTGAAATAGTAGCACCCTATGGTCACAGAAGCAATCTCTCGTAGAAGTGTGTTTGCACTGAGAAAACAGAGCAGACTGTGTATATATACCTTAGTCTTAAACAGAACAGCCACCACTCCTCCCTTGCATGGTGTTGTGTTAAAGAAACACCATAAGAGATGTTATCCTGGCCAGCCCATTCTTTGGAATCCCATTATGTGACACTCTATCTTTTCTACAGGTCAGTCAACATATATTGATCTAGTTCAAATATTGGTCTTTGTGAGGTTAAGACAAGGGCAAAACAACTTAAATCAACTTCCTGAAACCCTTTTCCCATTTGGAAATCTAGATGTAATTCATTTAATGATAACCAACCTATGCCAGCACCCCCCTTTAGAGTTACAGTTTTTGCAATGCAAGGGATTGCCTCTCTATTCTCAGTGGTTCTGGCCGTACAGAGGACAGATACTTCAGAGAATAAAGCCAGGGAGATAAGAGTTTGAAAGAAATGTATAGGTTCCTGGCCCCAACTCTGATTCCATAGAGGACGAAGCTTAGCTGGGTAACACCTGCTTAGTTTTTCAATAGAGGGGGTCAGGAGCAGCTGCTTCGTTTAGTGCTTTTTATCCCTATATTTCATGATTGTAGCAAGGTGGTTTTTAAATTTTTGTGACTGGATATGTTTGAGTGAGTTTTTCAAGAGGTTACAAAGATTTTATCTAATCACAAATAACATGGATCAAATATCTAAAACTGGGTTCAGGCCAGATATGGAAGTTATAAATTAAAAACAGAACGGATAAAGGCAAGAAACATAAACAGTCATGTTCACATTGCAAAGGACTCCTACCGTTGTCTAAAACCAGGCTGAAGAAACAAGTTAGCAAAATGAAGGAAAGAAGGACAAAAGATGGGAGTGAAGGATGGAGAGAGGGAAGGACGGAGGGAGAGGCAGGAGGAAGGGTACAGGGAGGTAGTTCCAATGCAAGCAGGGCTGGTCAGCCATGGAACAGGGAGAAACTCCAGAAAGACATGTGCCCGCCACACTTGCAGCCCAGCAGAGAGAAGATCTACAGATAATGACTTTCAGGTCTTTGGAAAGTACAATAGACAAACGAAGCCACACAGGCTGGTTCCATTAAACCCAACAACTAGCCAACTCCCTCCTTTCTGACTCTATGCTTTCTCCTAGTGTAAGGTTCTGGTGACAGTTTGGCTATATATGTGACATGAACTGACCAGAGAGAAATCCTGCAATATTCTTAAATATCAGCTTTAAAATGAATTTACACATTCATCTCTTGTGAGTTAATATGAAATAGTACTTGACAAGACTTAGGTGCAAAGCTGAGGGTCAGTTCACTTCCCTGGGCTAGCTTGTCTGTCTTTTGAAATTCTAGATTTTTTTTTTCAAAACAAAGGAAAGAGAGCCTCAAGTGAGAGGACTATCATTATTTGTTCCACCACTCTTGCAAACCTCATACCTCTTGCTCTGAAATGACACAAGAAATGAATGCCACAACATGGGCAGCTCACTTTGTGGCATCCAAAGTCTTCTTGTTGGACACTTCCTGGAAAGTGGGCTTTTGCTTTTAAAAACAATCTGTATTAGTTATCATTTGGGGGAGACAGATTTTATTTTTGTTTTTAATATGTAGGATAAAGACTAAATTAACTGTAGACCCCCAGACTCTAGTATAATGACTCTTAATTGTCCTAAGTTTTACATACTTTAAGCGTATCTGTGTGTCTTAGAAAGACGTGGTAGCCTATAGAAGTCCATTGTTCCAAGGACATACTTACAGAAGATAAACTTTGCATGAACATTATTGATCCAGTTGCATTCTGGGTGCTGTTGTAGATGAATGTGCATCCCTCTCTGAAAAGTTTGCTAATGATACAGTTTTCATGGGGACAAAGGCCCTTTTCACACACAAAAACTCCAGTGATGTCAGACGAACACCTAAAAAATGGAATGAGAAACTAGGAATTAGGTATTTTTTAGAAATACGTATTTTTCCTGGATTATCTTTTCTAATAGTTTGTTTCAGGGATTATAGTTTAGTTAACATGTATAAGCTTTTAAAAAATGTTCTTAGGAAGTTTATTAACTTACTCTCCAATACACTCTCTCCAATTTATTTTAAAGCCTTGAATTGGATGAGTGAGCAGAAAGAGGACAGTGGCAGGAACGTAACTTTTTATGGTTTATAGAGGAAGCTGAATGAAGATGGTGAAGATCACAGCTTTTCACTGTTCATATTTGAATCACATAAACATTTGCCCATTTTAAACTTCAATAAAAATTAAGAATGAAAACAAGAATTTATTTCTTGCTAATATTTACTTGTCACTAACTTATTTTTATTTCTTATTTTTTCTGTCACATCATAACTAAGTCAAGACAAAGATGCCTACACTTTCTTATTTATCATTTCATGTTTTACCCTTTTGAGAACAAGATCTCACTAAGGAGCCCTGGCTGACCTGGAGCCCACAGTGTGGAGCAGGCTGACCTTGAATTTGTGGCACACCCTGTCTCTCTAGTGTTGAAATAATAATAGCATGTGTCAATGTGTCCAGCCACTTAGTGTAAAAAAAATTCTAAAGCCCTTCTAGTTTTTGAAAAACTCGGTATACTCAATCAGTAGTCAATTTTAAACATGAGAGAAAGCACTGACCTTGTGACTTGAATTTCATTCTGGCCATTTATGTACCTCGGCTTGTCATTGTTGTATTCGTCAAACACACCCCAGCGGAGATGGGCCCATTCATGGACAAACACCCTGCCTGTAGAAGAGAGAGTTGCGGCTTTTTGAGCGCCTAAAATCTCAGCAATGGGCCTTGCTAATCAACGTAGACATAGTAACCTGACTACATTCTTATTCCAAACAGTTGAAGGCGGAGTTTTTGCCACTTTCCTCACTCTTCCTCTAGCGTCACAGGAAGGCAGCAGGAAAATGTTTGCTTGCATGACGGTGAGGCACCCTGCGCTGTTCTCCTCCTGGCTCAAGCTGTCTGACAGCTTCTCCTTAGCTTCTTGCGTGCAGCCCAGCAGGTTCAGGACTTAGAGGGAAGGCGAACATCATCTCAATTAAATAACGTTTCCAAGTTTAGTCTGGGCCTAAGCATGCCTGCTCTCCTGTGGGCCATTCCCGGTGTCTACATCAGTGACTGAAAACCAGAGTCCAGGGAAGGAGGAAGGATCTGAAAAGACACAGCATCCCCTCGCCAGCCTCCACGCGCCTTCCTCCTTACCCTGTTTCCTAGTCCTGGTCCTCGGAAATCCTCATTGTTAACGTCACATCTGTGACAGATTTACCTTGTCGTCTCCTATCTTAGATTTCATTCCAAGTTCAGCTCAGTAGTTAATTGTTCTCCGTGGAAGCGTTTCGGTCAACGCCATTCCCAAACCAAAGCACACGTTCATTTTTTCTGAATTAGTTCAGGTTCTGTAACTCAGGGACTGCCTGCCTGCTGCACTGACTGGCTGGGGCACGTTGTGCAATGTTTGCATCTAGGGAGGAAACGGCCACCCCTGAGAGTAATAAGGGAACGCATGTGTCAACTCATGAATCTAGAGATGCTGATGAAGTCTTACGCAGGGCCAGACAACGTCACCCTCATGGTTAGTTGCCAGATAGGGGGAAAATCCAATCTTTAAGAATTTTATAAAATATCCTATGATATATTGCTTTACCCCCTGCTTGCTAAGCAGGAATAACAAAATCTACTTAGTTTTAAATTTCATAAGAAAATAAAGATCTTTGAAAGGCCCTATTTAAAATTCAACCAGAACTGAAGTCACAGATTGGAGTTAGCACCAGGATGGCTGACTTGTTCTCACTAGTGTCTCCCTCAGACCTCACAGATGGCCCACCCGTCTGCAGGCTAGCGACTGTCACCTTCTTCCTCAGTGCCCCACGCCAGTGTCTGACCACAGGCAGACATCTGTAGGGCAGTCCGTTGCTCCTCGCCACCCTCTTGCCTAACCCAGAGCCATGGCCTCCCCTTTCCACAACCCGCCTATTTCCCAATGCCTTCCTTGTTCTTCACGCCACCTGCCCTTGCCTCTTGACTTTTACTTGGCAGCCAGCCATGCAGAACTCCTTTCTGGGATACTCAGCACTTAGGGCCACTCATATTTCATAAGAAAATATTTTAAATGAAATTGGCAGAGCATTTGGGCATGGGAAATCCTGGTTGCTTGTATTCTGGGCTCTGGGCCTTTCTATCTTGCTGCCTCAACTCCAGCCTGCTGAGCACATCCTGCAGCACCCCCATGTAATGAGCTCACCCCTGCAAATGAGCTCACCCCTGCAGCACCCCCATGTAATGAGCTCACTCCTGCAGCACCCCCATATCCAGCCTCTCCTTCATCGATTCTAGCCAGCCCAGATATGCACACAGACAGTTCCATCTTCTGAGAATGATACGGCCCTCAGTGGGGACTTGATGATGTAGACATTGTACAATGCTCCCATCACCTGGTTGTTAGGTGCATGTTGGCATTTCCCTCCCTGCCCAACTTCTGCCCTGTCAGTGGGTCTAATGCTTCCCTCAAAAGCCTGGGGTTCCTCTTCGTACTCTCTTTTCTTTCCATTAATCAAAACGTTGTTAAGCTCTCTTTTGTGAGACTTGTTCTTGGCTCAGTTGTCTTCACTGAATTCTCAGAGCTCTGCTCTATGCCTAACCTGGTTCGTGGTCTTCCGGCTCATTCTGTTACTCTCTTTCCATGTGCACTTGGCCTGCCTCCCCCTCCAATGGGAAGGCATTGACAGGTGAGGGTTTTATGAGGCCATATCTGTGCCAAACACAAAACGTTGTGTTGTCACACACCGTTTTATGATTTTATGGTCAGCACTCACCTCTTGAGCCATATCCTGCCGCTAGCTCATCATTTAGTAGGAAGTTGGGAGTGAAATGGATGTGCTTCCCCTCGTCTCCACACCCTCTGTGCTGTAGCGTATATGGGTCATCCCCGTGTTCCCCATTCTGCTCAGTCACTATGACATTTGCCTAAATTAAAACAAATACATTTTAAATAAATTTGAGCTATAATTTTGCTGTAATTATACATGATTTCAAGACAGATTAAAGGCAAAAGGAATGCCTTGAAGTTAGAGTTAAGATATTCTGACAGCTAATTGTTAGCTAAATTCTTTGGCGCTTTCAGAAAGATCACCTTTAGAAGTTTAGCCAGATTTCATGGAACTTCTTTCCATCCTTTATTACCTTCCCATTCTCCAGAACAAAATATTCTCAGACATCAACATTGTTAAATTATGATATCATCGCACTGTAAAAGCCATATAATCAAGAACATTTGATAGTATTTACACATCATCCAGGACTTGAGAGTAAAGAGTTTCAGCTGTTTTCAGTCAGCTGTGTTTATTCTGTCAGTGTGGGCAGCAGGACATTGTGCAGGAGGTCTCTTCTGTACAGAACTCAAAACATTGTAGCCCCATCTTTCATTTCTATGGCCAGATAGATCAGTATCATTCACTAAATGCTTCCTTAACTGACATTATGATGTTTGTGCCCAAGACATTTGATCTTATAACATATGCTGTACTTATACCTCTCATAGGGAAAGGGCACCACCACTGACTTCTTAGTTGGACTGAAGGACAAGTTCATTAATGTAATCTTTGTAGAGACTACATAGCTTGGTGCAAACAGTATAGGTTTTGAAGTTAAATAGATGATCAGTAATTATTATTTGCATGGAACATAGTTATTAATTTTTGATTATAACAACTAACTTGAGGCTGCATAGACTTAAGGGGAGCTTAATAAACACTAGATTTCCCCCAGTTAGTTCCAGTTCCCTACTTATCTTTGTGCCAAGTGCTTCTATCTGATGAGAAGTCAAGTGTTTTGTAAGCCTCTCAGCATCTTCACGCCTTCGGGCAACAATCTACACTGCTAGGCCATTCAATTTCTGAGAGAATCTTCAAGGGAGAGCTAACAATTAAAATAACCTGAGGAAATTTAAACCAGGTGACACAGATCTTTAAAAATGACACATTTTCCCATGCTCCATCTATCCTGATGGCACCATAGCTACAGACACCAAGCCTATTCCATTGCTGAAGTCCCAAGTTCTCCTCCAGGCTCTGATACAAGCCCTTCCCTCTATGCAATGGACTCTCATTCATAATCATTTTCAAAGTGCTTTAGCATCTATTTTTATAGGTGCATGCCAGTGAATATTTACATATCATTTGCAGTTTAGTAGTGTTCTTCATGGTTAGAAAAGAAAATGGAGCCACCTGCCCCTCTTGGATCAGCATGCTGGCCTTAGTTAAAGGCAAAACATGCTCATTTACAACATGGTTGCATTTTTACATTCATGGATGGCTCTTCTCATGGACTTGACTGTTCCCAACACAATGACAAGTGAAGATCACCAGAGTCGGATTGTGCTGCTCCCTGCTCCCCCTCAGCAGGATAAACCCAATTCCTTTTCCTTGACTAAAAACTGAGCCAGGATCTTGTGCATCCCAGATAGAGATGTCCTGGGAGGCAGATCCAGCAATGGCACATGATTCAGTTTTTGACTGAGTAATTTACACTTATTATGTTTCCATTTTTCTTTTTCATAGTTGTTTATTAAGCTCTATGTGGTAAAGTCCACATACTTTCTCAGGAATACTCTTCCAAGTTGCATAGCTCTGTCCCAGAAACAACGACAAAGTCTATTTTGAAAGTACTCACCCTTAAGTTGAATCAGGCTCTTTTAAGAGCCTCCCAAATCCTTACCTTTTCATAGGATTCTTGCTTTATTTTGCTGTAATTATGAGCTGTCCAAGTAGCGGGTACTAAAATCTGAATATTTCTGAAAAACACTCTTCTCTTGGTAGCATTGAACAGATAAAAGGAAGCTTCAGTTATCATCTCCTATAACCAAACAGAAGGAACATGGCCACATGTAAATCCTTGTTTCTCTGATGACACTTAAACAACAGTGAAAAACAGGTAAACAGATTTTGAATGACCCTCTGAAGGTTTTTTTGGAAAACACATTGAATGGCTTACCTGAAAGGGAATTTTAGCACACTGATTATGTGTCGGGGCTTGCCCTTGTGACTTCCCCAAGTTTGAGAAAGGGTTTTAAGCTTTTACTGGACACATCTTTATGTCACACCTATGGGCATGTTCAGGCCTGTGCCTTTTGAGGATATTATTTTCACTTTAAGCAATACCTAACAAAGAGACTCTTCGGCAATGATCCTCCCTAACCATGCTAAAGTAAAAACATTTATTTCATAGAACATTGGGAGAAAACAAAGAATTGTTCTCTCTGGCGGCCTGTATAGATTCTCTCACTTGAGAATTCTCCTTCTTGAAATGAGATATCACAGGACAGTCTTAACTTGCACTTCCACACCCCTGTGTCATCAAACATCTGGCTTTCTTTCACCATAACCAACCTTCGCTTCTCTAAGCTGTTCTCCAGAGAACAGTCACCTGTGAAACACCTTTGAAATGTCCAAATCCTAAAGCCAACAGAAGCTAACTAATGAAAAGTCAAAAGAAGGCTCTATGAGTACAGACTACACACAACTATGTGATCTAGCCAGAGTACGCACAATCATGCGTACTTGTCTCTGTACTGCTCAAGTTCAAACCTGGGGGGGGTGTTTACTTCCTAAACATGGTAACAGGTCTGTACTAATGGGCTAGTGTTATCGACTGCGTAATTGCCACTCACCTTAATGTTTGTAATCAGGTCCAGATTCTCAGGTACCTGAGGACTGATCGCAACAAGCAATCCATCGTACCCATTGTCTTGAAGCTTCAATCCGGCTCCTAGGATTGGACTCAGGGCAAATAGAAGAGTCACAAGCTTCAGTCTGCAGACAGGTGCTGTGCTACTCCTGTGGGCCATGCTGTAATGAAACCTCTGGTTTACTCACAGGAGCCTGCTGGGAACCTTGAGTCAGGTGATCAGTGTGGAAGCAGATGGCTTCTTCCTGAATTTGGAAGGTCTTCCAATGCATGATGAAGGAGTTGCCTTCTTTGAGAAATCTGGGGTGGATCTCTCTGGGACCTGTCTGTACAAGTTCTTCTCTCAGGCTGTAATACTCACCTGTTCTGTGGCTAAGCCGCTTCCTGAATCATAGTTGGACAAGAGACCTTTCTCTTCCTAACTTCGTGTCTTCCCAGAAAGAAAAGAGAAAAGAGGCAAGCAGGAGCTTAAGAGCATTAGGCTTGCTGCATGGCAGTCAGAGCACTGAAATCAATCAGTCTGCCCAAGTACACCCAGAGGCCTCCAGTGATTTTCCTTCCCCGGTCCTTGGCAACTTCCACCATCGGCACCGCTTCCCGTCTTCACTCAGGACACTGCTCCGGTCTGAGATTCCATTGTTATTTTGAAGATTTGGAAGTCATCCCATATGCCTGCCCCTAGAGCCCTGGGCTGGGCAGTCTGAGCAAGCTCTGAGCTGATGGCTGGGAGACCAGATACCCCACAAGGGAGGGCCAAACGCCAGGAACTTGGATGCTGTGCAGGCCAAGGAGTTTCACCTGGCCCCAATGCCACTTCTCCTGGTGCCAGGGAGAAGAATGAATTTTTTTCTAAGCAGGCCTCCCCTGGGGATAAGAGCTTGGTCTAGTCAACCTGTACCTCCTGCAACATCACAGCATGAAGTAACAGGCTTCACAAATATTTTATGCCTTGTGTATGATCGCTGATAACAACACAGTGCTGTGTAATTTGCAGTCGAACCCGTTTAAATGTCATTCCCTTGATTCAGTCATCATTTTCATTCCTGATTTTCAAATTCTGATACTTAGCCAGTGGGGAAAAGAAGGTGCATTTTTTATTTAATTTAATTTTTACAAAATTATAATTTCACATGTCAATCCCTTCTCCCTCTCCCTTCCCTCCCTCCCTCCCAACCCCCCTTCCCTCTCTGCTCCCCATGGAGGGTAGGGCCCTCCACAGGGGCTCCCCAAATTCCACAACATCATCCTGGTCTGGTCCTAGGCCCTCCCCCATGTGTCCAGGCCGAGAGTGCATCCCTTAACGTGGGGTGGGCTCTCAAAGTCCCTTCTTACACCAGGGAGAAATACTAATCCACTACCAGAGGCCCCATAGAGTGCCAAGGCCTCCTCATTGACATGCACTTTCAGGGGTCTGGATCAGTCCCCTGCTGGCCTCCCAGACAGTAGTCTGGGGTCCATGTGCTCCCCCTTGTTCAGGTCAGCTGTTTCTGTGGGAGGATGAACATTTTTATTGGATGGTGGGTTGTATCATCCCTAGCTCACAAGTGAATATGGTGGCTGAAGAAGAAATAGCCCCCATCCCAAGCTGGTGGCATCCCAAGTTTGGGGATGCTTAGGAGGTACAGTCTTGCTGGAGAAAACAATTTCACTTGCAGGAGGCTTTGCCACTTTAAAGCCCCATGCCATTTCCAGTTCACTCTGTGTGCTTTGTGCTTATGGTTGAGAGATCTGTCACCTTCCTGTTCCTGCAGGCATGCCCGCTGCTCACTGCCACACCTTCCCATTATAATGGATTCTTGTACCTCTGGGACCATAAGCCAAATAAACACTTTCTTCCTTTTTTTTTGAATCCTTTCTTCCTTAAGTTACCTTAGTCATGGTGCTTTATTTCAGCAACAGAAAAATAGCTAATAGTGTGTCAAAGCTAAGGCTCAGAAAACCTAAAAACCCCTTTAAATTGGTAGTGGCAGCATAGTGTTAAAATAAGAGTAATGGGCTTCAATTTCCGTTGTTTATCATTATGTCATGTCTTCTCTTAGTTATCAAATTATATTTACAAATTGTCCTTCTCTCACAGGCCTTTCAACCTGCGGCCTATGGAACTATGTAGATGACAGCATCTTGTGTCATTGTCAGGGTTGGACCTGCTGACTGGCTCCACACACAGTGACAGCTATTGTGAATCTTTTTGAAAACCAAGGGAAAGTTTTGTTTGCATGGAGAGCACATCTGGAGATCTCCAGTCACGTGTGCATCCTGCCTGACTGTGACCCGTTTCTGAAGACTGCTAAGGAGCGGAGGGTATTAGGTCAAGAAAAACACCTCTGACTGCTCTCCTTGTGGAGGTCACACTAAGTCAATGCTGTGCTCTAACGGCCATCTTCAGGGTAGGTTCATTGTCTTCTTCTTTCCCTAAAAACTGGAGTCTTTGAACCAGGGCTCCGGGCTCTGGTCTTTGCCTTTGCACATATTCACGATAGCATGCAGTCTTCAGCCAGTACTTACCACGCATGCTTCTCCCTTACTGTATTAGCTACTTACCATGTTCCTGCGATAGCATGACTGACATAAACAACTTACAGGAGGAGATACTTATTTTAGCTTGTGGGTATCTAAGGGTTTAGTCCGTATTTGCTTGACTCCATGAGCTTGGGTAGAGTACCATGGTTACCACGGTAGCTGAGCATGCCGTTCAGGAACGTCTCTATTTCCTAGCTGACAGCAGGCAGAGGTGTGTGTACCGAGGACCCAGTATAAGCTTCACAAGTGTGACCTTAGTTACTTGCTTCCTTCAGGTAGACCTCACTTGCCACTATATCCAGAATTTTCCCAGAT